CGCCCCCACGGGTAAAAGCGGGGGAATATATTCGGTAACAGGGATAAGAACCCGCGACCCGCAGATTGCGAGTCCTAACCACCACACCATAACAGGCTTGTACTTTATAGAGCCGATTGAAAGGTAAAAATAAAACTTTGTTAACTGTTTGTTTGTTGACTTTCGAGCAAAGATACATGAGGGCTATCTGCGCTAGCCGTCCCTAATTTAGCAGTGTAAGACTAGAGGGAAGGCAGCTAGTCATCACCACCCACCGCCAACACTTGGGCTACTCTTTTACCAACGAATAGCGGAATTGATCGTCACATTATAACGCCCCCTCGGCTGAAAGGGTGAGCGTGTTTGGTGTGACGGGGATTCGAACCCGCGACCCGCAGATGGCGAGTCGAGCGCACCTAACCACCTGGCCATGCCGGGTCAACCTGTTACGTAATTAGCCACAAACGAAAAACCGTTTTATCTATTTAATATTACAGTTTTATTTGAATCGATTCAATTGTATGCGAGAAACTCATACATTTTTTCAATCTCTAATATGTTTTCAGATGTTTACTTACTTTTATACAGTGGAAATTGCCAAACAGTTATTTGTACAACATACTTATTAATTAATTAGGTAATGGATAATGTTTGGTAATTTTATTAAGAACCGTTGCTTGCTTTCTAGCTTTCCTTGAGCTTTAGTCCCAGATACGATTACTGTAGTAATTACCTAGATATGTTGGAAGTTTACATTATTAAAATGTAATATGAAAATAAGCTTTAATATAATGAAGGCCTAGTACTGATGCTGTAACATATTTCCAAACTGACTAAAACAGATTACCTTGAAAGTTCAACTTTAAATTGTTCACTGTTCTAAAACAAAATTCCTATACTCCTCCTCTTTATTGTGTTAAAAAGTTTTATGCATCTCAAGTAAACTTTAACAAACCACCGAAAACATGAACATAATCTCTCTCAAAACAGTCTGTAACTCGCAATCTGAGGGTCGCGGGTTCGAATTGTCGTCCCATAAAACATGCTCGCCCTTTTAGTCGTGAGGGCGCTATAATATGACGGTCAACCCCACTATATGTTGGTTTAAAAA